GTGTAGTTTTAAACTCTCCTTGAGAACAGAATTGTTTTAGCTTACAAAATAAGATCTAATCATGTCTGAGGACCAAGAATGTTCTTGGGCTTTTTGAAAACGTGTATAGATGGTGTGAATGGAGAGCACAAATTTCTTGGTGCTACCCTACCACCTGGTATGTCATACTGGGCTCCAAATCTAGAAGCCGAGCTGTCCCCACAGAACAAACGCCTGTTTTCTCAGCGCATTCATGTGCACCAGGATTACCTAGAAGGGAAAGACACAGCTGGACTCACATTTTCATTAGATTCTCTTTCATGCTGGGCAGTTGATCCACCTGTTGCCTTTTAGAAACTTGATGTGAGCCAGTTACCTGAAAAACAACAATTTGAGAGTTTATGCTCTTACGTCATGATGGATTTCAGGGAAGAGGAATGGTCACTTCTCAATGAACCCTTCCAGAACCAGCTCCTTTAGCAGCACGTTTAAGAGCAGCGGAGAATGATGGGAAATTCTGGCCTTTTCTGGAAAGCTCCATCTCAGCCCCACAATCGCTGCCATTTTATAAATAACCACAAGGGAGCCGTGAAGACAAACTGTCCACGGGATACAGATCCTATAATTTGTTGTTACGGTTCTAATCCACCAGCCGCTGCTTGGGACCCCTGTGGGGCAGTTCTACTCTGTCCAATAGGGTCGCTATGAGTCGGAATCTACTCCACGGCAATGGGTAGGCAATGGGTAAATGTATCGTTGTTCTCAGCTGCTGATATGCATCAGAGGAGAACTGCTCCATAGGGTTTTCAAGGCTGCGACCCTTTGGAAGCAGATCACCAGGACTTTCTTCCAAGGTGCCTCTGGGTGGGTTCGAACCACTACCCTTTACGCTAGTAGTCAACGCTTAGCCACTTGCCCCAGTATAAATAATACATGCGTCCTGCCATTGGGGTAGATGAGACAATAGAAGCAGTAGGTATGTTGGAGAATAAATGGAAAGATGAGATAATATGCTTATGTTTGTCTATTTTAAAATTCCTCCAGGACATAAAGGTAGAGACTTCTTGTAAGTGGTGTGAATATAATCTGGAACTCAAGAAAAACTGAGGCTGATGACCTTAGAGATGGCAGCTGCAACCATGAGTGAATGAGATCATGAAGAGCACACAGAGACGCAGACAGCCCATGGTGTCACTTGGGATGGGAGGGAAGGAATCCACTAGAGCCAGACAGAGTCCTCATTTAAACAACAGAAAATCCAGGAGGA